CTAAGGTGCCAGCCACATACACCTGAGCTGATGGGTTTGAATCCAGCCCGGCCTGCCAAACAACAATATACAGCTGTAACCAAAAAATAGGTGGGCGTTGTGGTGGGTGCCTGTAGTCCCAGCTACTTGGGAGGCTGAGGCAAGACAATTACTTGAGCCCAAGAGTTTGAGGTTGCTGTGAGCTGTGATGCCATTGCACTCTACCGAGGGTAACATAGTGAGACTCTGTCGCAAAATAAATAAATAAATAAAAAATAAAGTAAAACCAGAGTTCAGAGAAGTCATTAAGTTGCTGAAGGACACACAACCAGTAAGTTGCAGAGTCAGGATTCAACCCTGGTCTGTCTCGCTCTAAACCCCAAACCCCTCCATCGCATTGCTTTTGCTGTCTACTGCAGATGGAGCACAGTGCCGGAGCTCAGCTCACCCCAGACTGGGCAGAGGGGTGCTGATAATGCAGCAGGACCCACTGAGTGGGCAAACAGGCTGAAAGGTCTCTCATTCGGGCTTTGCAGTCTTGTTTCTGGGACTCTGAGCCTGGCGGGATTCTCAGCTGTAAGTCTCAACCCTGCTACCAAGGAAACCGCCAGCCCTGCAGCTCAGTTTCTCTTTTTTAAAAGACACTAAGCATATCAGCATAAAGGCCACAGAATTATGGCTCTAGCAATCCTGTCAATGATTCCAGAAGCATTTGCATGCAATCTCTCCCACCCCCTCTTCTCTGCAGTTTTACTGTTCTAACCTCACCCAGCAGAGAATTGGGAACATTAAACCTGACCTTATTATTTGCTAATTGCTTGTAGCACACAATTAGCACCTAATTAACATAAAAGCATTTTAGCACTCAGAAGGGCCCAGAAATTATCTGGATCAACCCACTCTCTTTTAGGAGAGGTAAAATGATTTGCCCAAGGTCACACAGCAAGTTAGTGACAGATCTAGGACAGAAAGTATCAAGTCTCCTGCTATCTTATCCCTCTGAGGTGGGGATCACACCTTCCCTTCATTTTGATATCACCTGGCACACGTTTAGACACACTATACCTTCTGAATAACAACAGCTCCTTTTATTGAGGCCCACCATGTGTCACAAGCCCGGTATTTCTTTCTTTCTTTTTTTTTTTTTTTTTTGGAGACAGAGTCTCATTATGTCGCCCTCGGTAGAGTGCAGTGGTGTCACTGCTCACAGCAACCTCAAACTTTTGGGCTTAATCAATTTCTTTTGCTTCAGACTCCCAAGTAGCTGGGACTACAGGTGCCTACCACAATGCCTGGCTATTTTTTGTTTTTGTTGTTGTTGTTGTAGTTGTCATTGTTGTTTAGCTGGCCCAGGCTGAGTTCGAACCCGCCAGCCTGGGTGTATATGGCTGGCGCCCTACCCACTGAGCTACAGGTGCCACCCAGTATTTCACTAGATCCTCACAACAACCTTGAGAGGAAGACACTATCAGGCCCATGTTACAGGTGAGGAAACAGAGGCCCAGAAAGTTAAAAGCCAGAATAAAGAATTAGCATTTGAACTCAAGTCTTTGAGTCCAAAGCTCATGTTTTTTTCCATTACATTTCCTGAGTTCCTCAATCTGTGGCCCTCAACTCACAGGTCTCAGTATTTTGATTCCCTTTGTTCTTCTCTCAGTTAAGGACTACAGTAGCTGAAGAGTCCTTTTGGAGATGAAGACGGCACAGGAATCCTTTGCAAGCAAACTCCAATATCCATCAATCTTCCTGCCCAGGGACCCGTCCCACACCCACAATTTCCTCAGCATTCCCACCTGATCATGGTCAATATCCGCATCTCCTGTGATCACAATTCTTTTCTCAATCCGTGTCTCTGAAATCCCACCTTTTACAGTCTAGAACAAAAGGGCAGAGTTCATATGAGATCAGCAATATAACAAAAAGAAAAAGAGAAAGAAGCAGCAAAGATTATGAAAGCTCCACTCCAAATTTTAACCTGCTGCAGGATACTGCATAGGACAGCTTTCTTACCCACTTGTCCAAAATCTTGGATAGACATAAAAAGAGCACACTCCTACTCCCTTGGATTGCTGAAGTCTTTATAAAGAAAGTCACAGATCTGGCTCAGCGCCCATAGCTCAGTGAGCAGGACGGGCACCTGTAATCCTAGCTACTTGGGAGGCTGAGGCAAGAGAATCACCTAAGCCCAAGAATTTGAGGTTGCTGTGAACAGCACTCTACCGAGGAGGGTGACATATTGAGACTCTGTCTCAAAAAAAAAGTCACAGTTCCCTTTTACCTTCTTCCTAAACACCACAGAAATTTAGTAAGTAACGAAGTAGGTATTTCCCTGCTCATCTCCATACATTTTATTTGATCACTTTTAGGAGGAAAAAAAAAATCAGAAGACAATAAACAAATATATCTCACAGTCTGAAACTGGGCTCTTGTACTTTAAAGCATTTTTCATATTACTGATGTCAAAAGAGTCTCAAATAATCTCTTTGGGTGAGTGGGTTTCCCCTCTTGAGAAATAAGGAAAACCAAGGTCTAGATACATTAAGTAAACTTTTAGTTATCTATGTGTCGATGACAGAGCTTTGTCAAGAACCCAGACTTCTAGGCTGGTCAAGTGGCTCACCCCTGTAATCCTAGCACTCTGGGAGGCCAAAGAGGGCAGACTGCCTGAGCTAATAAGTTCATGACCAGCCTGAGCAAGAGTGAGACCCCCATCTCTAAAAATAGCTGGGCATTGTGATGGGCACCTGTGGTTCCAGCTACTTGGGAGGCTGGGGCAAGAGAATCGCTTGTACCCACGAGTTTTAGGTTGCTGTGAGCTATGATGGTACAGCAGTCTATAGAGGGTGACAAAGTGAGACTATGTCTCAAAAAAATAAAAAGAAAGAACCTAGACTTTTTACCTATAAAAAATGGATTTTCTTCCTGTGCTACAGCAAACATGGACTGCCCTGATTTTCTGAGGGTAGTTCCAATATTAGACTTTTTTTTTTTTTTTTT